AAAACAAATTTATAGTTACCAAAGGGGAAAAGGCAGGGGGGATAAATTAGGAGTTTGGGATTGACATTTTTACACTACTCTATATAGAAGATAAAAGATACAACCAACAAAGTCCTACTGTATAGCACAGGGAACTATACTCAATATTTTATATAATGACCTATAAGGGAAAACAATCTGAATAAAAATATATATGTATTTATAACTAAATCACTCTGCTATACACCTGAAATTAGCACAACACTGTAACTCAACTAAAACTTCAATTAAAAGATGGTACTCAAAAAAATAAATAAAAGTTTGAAGAAATATTGAAGAAAAAAAAAGTGCCCCATAACAGATAAAAGGAAGGAGTAGGGAGAGAGAAGATTTAAAAGAGGATCCATTTTGCTCATCTTTTTCCTCCAAAAGGTAGGAGATCTGGAGTATGAGGATAACAAATGTGGCCTCCTTTGCCTACTGGATTAATTCCAGTTTGCCGTTCTTCCCCTTCAGAAGCCCACTCCGCTTCCTTGTCTCCCTCTGTTACACAGATCTTGGAAGCAAGTCAATGATAAAGTCAAGAAAAGGTAAAAATTAGGCTTGCTTTCTAGAAAAGAGATCAATTCTTGAGGTCAATATCTTCCACCATCAGAAGAAAAGTACGACCCCCCAGTGGATGTCCTTACTTCCACCATCCCTTTCTTTCAAGGAAATGGTCTGTGCTGATTGGGAAGAAGGGAAATTATAGTCAAGACTTATAGTCAAGGGTTAGGCAAACTATGACCCAGAAGCCAATCCTGTTGCCACCTGTATTTGTAAATAAAGTTTTATTGGAACACAACTCTTAACTCATTTATGTATTATCGCTACTTTTGCATTACAAAGGTACACTTGGACAGTTTTAAGTGAGGCTACATGACTCACAAAGTATAAATATTTATAGTTTGGCCCTTTTTAGAAAAAGTTTGTGAAGATCTAGCATCAGCCCTCTCTTTGTCCTGGGACTCTTCTGCTTTAAAGATTCTTCACAATAACTAGAGAACTTTAACAAGCAGAAATGGCCCTACAAACAAAATGGCCTTCCCTATCAGATCTGAGCCACTCCTAATATGCACAAGAGGTGGTAGAAGAGGAAGGGAGGACAGTGAGTGGAGGGGAAGGGAAGACAGTGAGTTAATTTATAGCAGAATTCCGAAGCTTAGGACACAAGCCTCGCTCTTATTCTCCCCATCTAAAAAAGCCATATGCCCAGCTGCCAATGGATTCACTTGTCACCATAACCCTGAAGCAGATACCCTGAAAAAGGCCCAGAGCTATTTGGGAACACGAGCATAAAGGTGAAGGAAATTAATTTGCAGAGTTAGAAATCCTTACCCTGTCCAAATAACTCAAGAGAGCTTTTCAAATACCCCAGACATCTAATGGAACATGGAATGAATCTGACCTCATTCCTCTGCCCAGGGCTGAGCACACAGCTGAGACTCTGAGCTCAAAATCTGACAGAACCCTGGGGCAAGGGAGGAAAGGGGCCCAGGCTACAGAAAAAGAGATCATGAACCATCACTCTTCATCTAATCCAAGTCAAACTGTGCTTTCCATAACACCTCTCTGCCTTCACCCAATTCTGTCTGCCTCTTGGCCTCACTTCAGTGCATCATCACAGCTATCTAGGACTGAGACTCTATGTAAGGCGAGGCCAATGAGGCAGAGCGAGTGGGAGGCAGATTGCTAGAGCTGGCAGGAGCAGGTGCTCCAGAACCTAGATCCCTGTTCATTTCCCATTCTGTCATTTCCTTTGCTGTGTGATCTTGGACACATGATGTCATACCCTGCAGTTCATGCTCCATTAAAGTGAAGAGAATGACAGTACCTACAACCTAAGATGCTATTAGAGATGAGATGAGATCTTATGGATAAAGAGCCCGGCTAATAATAACAAGCTGGCATATTATGTATGCCTAATGTCATTACCACTCCCCACAACGGATCTCAAGAAGAACTGAAAATGGCACCCAGATTACTATGCTCCAAGCCTCAACCATCTGCCTGCTTGCCGTCTTCACCTGAGTTGCTGAATGCAGCTGGAGAGAAACACCCAACCATGCTGACCAGACTCATTTAAAATTCACATCTGGGTGGCTAACAAACATGCGAAAAAATGCTCAACATCACTCATTATCAGAGAAATGCAAATCAAAACCACAATGAGGTACCATCTCACACCAGTCAGAATGGCTGCTGTCAAAATGTCTAGAAACAATAAATGCTGGAGAGGGTGCGGAGAAAAAGGAACCCTCTTACACTGTTGGTGGGAATGCAAACTAGTACAGCCACTATGGAGAACAGTGTGGCGATTTCTTAAAAAACCGGAAATAGAACTGCCATACGACCCAATCCCACTGCTGGGCATACACACCAAGGAAACCAGAATTGAAAGAGACACGTGTAGCCCAATGTTCATCGCAGCGCTGTTTATAACAGCCAGGACATGGAAGCAACCAAGATGTCCATCAGCAGAAGAATTGATAAGAAAGCTGTGGTACATATACACAATGGAATATTACTCAGCTATTAAAAAGAATGCATTTCAATAAGCTCTAATGAGGTGGATGAAACTGGAGCCTATTATACAGAGCAAAGTAAGTCAGAAAGAAAAACACCAATACAGTATATTAATGCATATATATGCAATTTAGAAAGATGGTGGCGATGACCCTATATGCGAGACAGCAAAAGAGACACAGATGTAAAGAACAGACTTTTGGACTCTGTGGGAGAAGGCGAGGGTGGGATGATTTGAGAGAATAGCATTGAAATGTATATTATCAAGTGTGAAACAGATCGCCAGTCCGGGTTTGATGCATGAGACCGGGTGCTCAGGGCTGGTGCACTGGGATGACCCAGAGGGATGGGATGGGGAGAGAGGTGGGAGGGGGGTTCAGGATGGGGACACATGTACACCCATGGCTGATCCATGCGAATGTATGGCAAAACCACCACAATATTGTAAAGTAATTAGCCTCCAATTAAAATAAATAAATAAATAAAATTCACATCTGGGGACTTCCCTACTGGTCCAGCGGCTACGATTTTGCACTCCCAATGCAGGAGGCTGGGGTTCAATCCCTGGTCAGGGAACTAGATCATGCCACAGCTAAGAGTCTGCATGCCCCAACTAAAGATCCCCGAGTGCCACAGCAAAGGTTGGCATAGATAAATAAATAAAATATTTTAAAAAATAAATTCACATTCAACAACTTCAAGCAGCCCTCAGTGCCCTCCAGGAACCAAGCACTGTTGCCAACCACCTCCCTGCCCCAGCCTTTTACACTCTCAGCCAATAACCTTGCTTCTTATTTCACTGAAAAATGGAACCAGGAGAGGATTGCCACGCAGCCCAGGGCTGCGGTGTGCACAACAGCGTCTGCCGAGTGTTCTCCGCTTGCACAGACATCGCCAAATTATCCAACCCCAGAGTGAACATGGCCACTCCATCCTTCTGCCTGCTCACAAGCACAATCCAGGAGCCACTTATGACTCCAGTTTTCCTCTCCACACTTGACAGCAGCTCCATTTGCAAGTCCTATCAACTGTCCTTCCAAACTCGTCAAGACTCTGCCCACCTCCCAGCACTGCTCACCGTGGCCCTGCAGGCTTACCCTCTGTCACAATACAACAGGCGCAGCAGCCTTCCCGTGACGTCTGCTCACATCACCCAGAGTAAGGGGCCTGTGGGCACTGGTTGGCACACGCGGAGGCCCCCCACTCTGCTCCTTGCCACCCTCCACCCCACTGCCTCCAGGACTCCTGCCTCTGGGCCATTACATTCGCTCTTCTCAATGCTTAGTAGCTCAGTGATAAAGAGACTGCCTGCAGTNCCACTGCCTCCAGGACTCCTGCCTCTGGGCCATTACATTCGCTCTTCTCAATGCTTAGTAGCTCAGTGATAAAGAGACTGCCTGCAGTGCGGGAGACCCGGGTTCGATCCTTGGGTCGAGAAGATCCCCTGGAGAAGGACATGGCAACCCACTCCAGTTTTCCTGCCTGGAGAATTCCAGGGACAGGGGAGCCCGGCAGGCTACAGTCCGTGAGGCCACAAAGGATTGGACACGACTGGGTGACTAACACTTTCGTTTACGCTTGGAAAGCCTTTCCCCGGACACCACTGAGATGCACTCTTTCCCTCCAGGTTCCTGCTCCAGTGTCTCCTTCTCAGGTGAACTTGACCACTCGCCCTGTATAAATAACCCCCAGGGCTCCCACTACCCTTTTTCCACTTTCTTTTTGTCCTCATTTTGTCACCATCTAAAATATCTTATACTTGTTGTCACACAGCAGAAACACAACACTGTAAAGCAATTCTACTCCAGTTAACAAATAAAATTTAAAAATCCAAACCAAAAATTACCTTATGTACTTCCTTGGCTGCACAGTCTCTTCCCCAGCACTGGGAGGAAAGCACCCCAAGGGTATTCTGTTCATGGCTCTATCCCAAAAACAGAGCCGGCATTCAACAAATACTCATTGAGTCAAAGGCTGAATGAATGGTGTCGTCTAAATGGGCTAAGAGACTTCCCTGGTGGTCCAGTGGTGAAGACTCTGCACTTCCACTGCAGGGAGCATGGGTTCGATCCCTAGTTGGAAAACTAAGACCTCGCATGCCACGCTGCATGGCAGAAAATAAATTAATTTTTTAAAAAGATACTGACCAAAAGCAAATAATAAATAGGCTTAGAAAATGGGAATCCCCTGCTTACTGGGCTCTGTTCTATGCCACCATCTGTGTAAGCGAGTTTGTTTAATCCACATGTGCCATGGAAACAGCTCACCAGACCATCTTAAAGTCCCAAGGCTGAGAAGGGCCATGCCTGGGCTAAGAGCCAGAACTATCTGATTCAAGCCACATTTGCACTGGAAGAATGAACGGCTCCCATCCAAAGAGGAGCTTCTCACAGAGGAATCATTTTTTAAATGTTAATAACTAACACCCTCTTAATGTGTTTTCCCTGCCCCTCCAGGTTCACGACTACCTCCGCAGCAAGCTGTGCTCCCTCTATGAAAATGACTGCATTTTTGATAAATTTGAGTGTGTGTGGAATGGGTCAGACAGGTAAGAAAGGTCTGGTGGCTGGGAACCTTCCATGGGGTCCGTCTCCTTGCACCCACCCTGGGCCATGTGTCCTAAGGGGGTGCAACCAAAGAGCCATCAGAATCGGCCCTGAGGCCTGGCAGGGCTGCACCATGCGGCCCACCGGGTGACCTCGAGGTCAGGTCTGGAAAGGAACAGAGGGTGGGTGAGACCCTGGACTCCTCTTTCAGAACTGGCTCAGGTGACCCGTTAGCCTCACAAAAATCCTACCTTATACAGGCAAGACCCTCCCAGAGCTGGGTCCATATGCCTAAAATGAAGCTCCCCTGGCAAATTTCGAGGATGAACCATTCCAGTGACTGTAAAGTGTGCTGTCTAGATGGGAAATTATCCCTCGAGGCTACCAGTAGAGACTGGCCTAAGGCCTGGTGGTCATGAACTGAATTCTCATCAGCCTCATTTATCCTGTGCCCTCAAAGGGATTTATGACTATTTGAGGCCTTTGATTTCAACAGTACTTCCTAGTACCTCCCTGCAGTTTCTTTTTGGCTTGACAAATACATGCTGCTGTGATTTCCGGGAGAAGCCAGCATAGGCTACAAGGGAGGAAGGCAGCACCCGCAGTCATACTGAAAAGCAGGGAAATTCTATCACTGCAAAGCATTCAGAGAGGCGAGCTTCTAGTGAGCACAGACTACCTCTCTGACCCCTGTTGGGTTTTTTGGAGCCAGTGATCCAAAACCAGCCTTCCACTCAGCAGGCCTAGGAGGAATCACCACATGGTAGACGACCCAGATCACACCACCCAGTTGGTGGAGGGCAGAGGGCCAAGAGCAAAGCAACTGTTACTTAGTTGAACAAAGGCCTTCAGGGGAAAAGTAGTTATCCCTGCCCTGTTATTTTGTTTATTTTCATTTCCATTGGTCATTTATTCATTGTTCATTATGAATAGATTTTTTAAAATATTTGTGTTTATTATTGTTCAAGTTCCCCTTCTATCTGAACCAAGATTCAAAACCTATACTTACTCTAGGTACTTTTACACACATCGTGATTTTTTAATCCTGACCACAATCCATCAAGATTGCTTTCACTGTCCCCATTTTAGAGCTGAGGAAACTGAGGCTCAGCCAGATACTAGTTCAGGAGCTTGGGCAGATCACTGTAAGTAGTAGAGACAAGAGGAAGAATTTAAATCCTAAAATGAACATTCTTTCCACCACATTACAGTTTCTTTCCATAACCGAGAAAATGTTATTCTTGGTCCAGATAAGGTTGAGATTACTTTTTTTTTTTCCCCAAAAAAGACTTTCTCTTACTGTTTAAAAACAAGTCGGGTGGTGGTAATAGAAGCAGAGGTCAGTGCGTGGGAAGCAGTAAGGCCAAGTGGCTTAATGCTTGTGCCCCGGAGTCTGGCAGATGTGGGCTGGAGGCCCAACTTGGCTACTTACTGGCTGTGTGACACCATACACACACTCACTTTTCCTCCTGTGTAAATCCTTTAACATGGAATGATGGAAAAGGAAGTGAGGGTAGGGGTAAAGCACTCAGCACCCCTTGTGATGAGATAATAATTGCTCACCCTATGATAGATACACACATTTCATGGCATCAGTTTCCCAGGCCAGGGTAACAAAATCTAGCCCTTGATTAATTTCCGGGACAACTAACAAATACCCCAAAACTCAGCCCCCTGGCCGTGGCTCACTCTTGTCGGTTTTCCTTCACCTTCCTCTAACCCAAGACAACGAGATGTGGCGTTCTCCCATCCTAACCAGCCAGTCAGAGCCTCACCCACAAATGAGGCCAAGCCCACCTCTCCAGGGGTCAGCCATAAGAGGGTGCTGCTCGAGGGACATTATGTTTCCCTTGGCCTGTCACCTGTCAAAACTGTCACCATTAAGTAGAGTTGGTTCGTGGCTTCTGGGAGGCTCTTGGCACGCCCTGCTCTCATCATCAATGGGAGATTCTCCTAGGAATGGATAGTTCTTGTAAGAGGGTAGGAAACCATCTGTCAGTCCACTACAAAGGCTTATTTCCTCATCCTACATCCTTTTAAAAATTCTGATTTTTGTTTACTCCTTCCCAAGACTATGATGAGATCCACGTTTTAGATAAGTTTTCAGAAAAGGCAGAATGTCGATCTAGTTCATAGCAGGAAGAGGACACAATGTCAGCATCCCTCAGTACTGATGTGAGAAAGCCTTATCAGTCGGGCAGCACACTCCCTCCTACCACCGCCGTGCTCTAAATGAACACGATACAAGGACAGCTGTTTTCAGTGTTCCTACTCTCATGACTTGACTGCAGCCTCAGAATCCTGATGTGAAGGAGGTGGGCTGGGATCATTAAAACCACTAGACTGACTTATGGAACGAAATGACCTAAAGGAATCTATTGGTAAATAACAAGGAGGGCTGTCATCACCCTTCACCCAGCCCGAGAGCTTGTTTTCCTTAATGCTTCTAAAGTCGACAGTCACACTACAAATCCTGTTGCGGTTTTTGGTCTCTTAGCTGTAGAAAGTCTATGTCCATGGCACTCAGTCACTCCCTGTTTCCTCTCTGCCTTGCAGTGTCATCATGACAGGCTCCTACAACAACTTCTTCAGGATGTTTGACCGAAACACCAAACGCGATGTTACCCTTGAGGCCTCGAGGGAAAACAGCAAACCCCGAGCTATCCTAAAACCACGCAAAGTGTGCGTGGGGGGCAAGCGGAGAAAAGATGAGATCAGTGTCGACAGTCTGGACTTTAGCAAAAAGATCTTGCATACAGCTTGGCATCCTTCAGAAAATATTATAGCAGTGGCGGCTACAAATAACCTATATATATTCCAGGACAAGGTTAACTAGGAGGACAAGTTATTACTTAATAATCTCACATACTGAATACTAGTCAAACACGTTTTTAAATGTTTCTTTGGGTGTTCATTTGATGCATCGACTTTTAATTTCCCTCTGCAGGAGACAATTGGAATAGAAGTCCATGGAGTCCAACCTTCCCACATCCCCAGTTCTAAGAAACTTTTGTCAAACCCAGTAGGTTCTGGGACACTTCTGTTTAGAATCGAGAGCTGCCAGCTAACAGTAATTCTTCCATAGTTGACTTGAATTTCTGATGCTTTTATTGCCCCGTTTTCTCTGGTGGGTCCAGTGTTTTGTTTCTAGGTGTCTGCTGAGATAAAATGAGGTTGTCTGTAGTATTTAAAGAGAAAAGAGATAAGTTTTTTTTAATTAAGCAATTCCATTTGATTGAAAAAAATTCAATGAAAAATAAACACTGTTTACTCTTAGAGAAATTCTCCTTGTTTTGTGACAAATCAGAACCAGTCAGCACCCCCCTGTCCCTACAGCACTTCTTTTTTTTTTTTCCCCCATTTTCTTTTTCATGATTTCACTTGAGCCAGAGATTTATTTCACAAGGCTGCAAAGAGGATGCAGAATGGGAAGGGGAAAGGACCACATCAACAGTGCTATATTCTTTTTTTGTAAGCGCCATAGAAACAGCCTGAGAATTTGGCCAGGAAGCCCCATGAATGCTTCAGGGGACATCAAGAGAACACTTTGCTTCTCAGAGTTAGCTTGGCAGGGCCCTGTGGGGCCACATTCCATCTGTCGCTTTGTTACTCTTGCTTTTTGTCATTTTAAATGGCTCCATATAATCCTCTACTTACACGTTCCTTGGCTTTTTCCCTTCACCCTTTTCCAGCTTATTTATTCCCTTGACTTCTAAAGGCCGAGTCCTTGTTTATGATCTGGCTTCTAAATGCAGCAGTAAGCTGAGGGCTGGGGCACCTCCCTGAGAAAATGTATCTCCCAAAGCAGCCCCCGCCCCCTTCCCTGGGTTTTGTAACCCAAAGTAACACTCCATCTATCTCCACTACAGCGAGAACAAAAACAGCCAATGGAAAACGCTGCTCTGTAAAGGCTATTCAAGTGCTTCTGACCCACCATAAGTTTTACCATCCAGAAAAACAGACCAGAGGGCTCTCCTGCAGAAATGGAATATGGGGGAATCAAGAAGCTTTGACATCAAAGTGAAGTCTGCTTGAAACTGTAAAGGCTGGTTCATCCCCCCTCCTCCCGCCCCCTGCCCTTGAGGATTCAGACATGTAACTTCCAGAAGTTTCTCTGTGACGCACCTCAGGAAAGGAGACGAAGTAAATTCAAAAGATGGAGAAATTTGAAACGGAGGCTCAAGGAGGAAGTGGGTGGTTCTTCAGGCCGGGCCTGGGCTCCGAGTCCCCATTCCTGTCACCATGACTCATCTCCCCGGGCTTGCATTTAGTGACTAGGAAATGGCTTGAGATGAGAATTTTCCTTTTAAAGAGAAATTTTCTTTCGCTTTGTATATTTATTAGAAGTCCCAACTTTCAAGTGTAATTTGTTTTGGAAGAGAGAAAAATAGTGAAAGAATCATCTTTCAATGCTAAGCTATTACCTACTTAATAACAGCTTTTTGGCAAGGAAATCTACTTAAGCGAACAATTTTGTAAGATGCAGCTCAATTTCAGAAACGTTAAAATATGAAAAAGTACCTCTCAAAACTGAGAGAGCATGTGGAGGAAGACGTGCTTTTTTTCCTCTGTGTTTATCTTTCCTGCAATAAAAGTCCTGGTGGAAACTCTCTGGGTAGGATTCCTGGCCTGATGGGGACCAGGTTCTTGGAGGAGACCCAAGAAAGCCACAGAAACTTCTCCAACTCACAGAGAATCATGGTAGCAGGACAGACAGAAGGTCCAGCAGGCTCCTGTCCTGAGCTGACCATCAACTTCCTCACGGCCTTTTCTCTGCTTCCTTGAGACTCAGCCCCCCTATCTGTACCAGCTGACAGGATGAATCATTGTTCCTCAAAATTTAGCATCGACCTGCCTTTATACTGTTACTCATTTCACACTTAAGTCACCTTTTCTAAAAGCAAGACATAGCCTCCTTCCAACAAAGAATGTTCATGAAATGTCAGCTTTAATGTTTTGTTCTAACACTAAAAGAATCACATAACCATTAATGAAACAAACATGTACCCATTCACCAACTACAGGCAACTTGTGAACCCCAAGATGCATGCTTACCAAACTTGGGGAACACTGAGTTCTGATGTGGCAGAACACTGAAGCCTTTGGAGGCATTAGAGACTTACAATGGACAGTAGTCCACAAATTGGGAGTCAAGCCTGCTTCTCAGAACACACACATGAACAATTCTGGTCACAGCTTTAAGGGGTTCACAGGCCCACCTACAGCCTATCTGTGGCCTTCACCTCAAAGCTCCTACACTAACCCAGTGCCCTCAGCCCACAGATGGACACTTTGAGATCTACAAAGTGGGAGGAATTTGTGGAAGAAATCAAAGCTAAGAACAGAGGGCCACCACCTTCCCCGTTACCCCAAACAAAGGAGGCACCAGAGCCAACATCCTCGACTCATACGTGGAAACAGGAGGGGAAGGCCCTGGAGACCAGGCCTCGGCGGCAATGCCCACCGCCCTGCTTTAGCAGCGACCTGCTCTGTGCTGGTTATGGAGCCGGGTGTTTCCACCTGCCACCTTCTTCCACCCCAGTGCTGGTGATCTTCTTGGCTGACGGTGCCTAGAAGTCAGTCCCTTCTCCAGCTGACACTCAGAGCTACGTGGAAGCTGACTTACCACCTTTTCTACAGCTTCTTGGACTCTCAGATCCCTGCCCTGCAGCAATAGTCTGTTCCTGAGGCAATAGTCCATTCCTGATATTTTAACAAGCAATTCGAAAGCTGAACTTTGGCAGACACCCACACTTTCACTTCCAGAGGAAGAAGATGAGTTTGAACAAAACAAAGAAGACACGAGGCAGCACGCAGCAATGGGGCGTCCATCAGTGAACGGGCAGTAGGAACCCCTGAGCTTCCTAACTCCTTAAGGTCTGGCTTCTGCCTTCAGTCTTCTATCAGGTACTGGGGGCGTGCAGGAGAGCATCTCTCAACCTCTCATTGATCCCATAATTAACTCAACATGCATTAGGCAACCCAGCACATATAAGGTGAAACAGTTGTCAGTGAAAGGAACAAAGGCGAAACTGCAATTCTTTTAGCTCAGTGACCTGATGAAGCAAATCAGCTGTCTCACATGTATTTCTTTTGAACCAGCAGGGCCTATTATAATAAAAGTTAAACCCTCAAATGCTTCATCACTGACAATGTTGGAGACCATTTCCCTTCCTTCAAACCTACAGAGCAACAACCCAAAGCTTCCCTCTGAACCCCCAACCCTGGGCCCTATTCTTTCCTCAGCCCCTCTGCTGACTGCCTCCAAGAGTCAGGAAGGCCCTAGTAGGCCTAATAATAAAGCTTTGGGAGGACACTGGAGTCCACAGCCTGAATGAAGGAGACCTTACTAATTTGTCTTCTTCCATTATGGCCGTGTGCAGATGAGGATGGTGTGTTTTAACACTACCTTCAAAGACACAGCAGCCCCTGGTTCACCGCTGGGAAACAGTCACACACTGTGCCTCTTGTCACATCTTAACTGTCCTCTTGCCCCTGCATTTCTAAGTCAAGTCTCGGGAGCCACTTTCCATGGGAATGACTCGCCTGGTCAATGGAAAGACATGGATTGAGGGGACAGGAAATGTAGATCCTGCTCCTGGCTCTGTGGAGTAACTGGGCAACCCAGGCAAGTCATTCAGTGCCTACATCAGTCACATCACCTGTAAAATGGTCAGAAAGCCATCAGCCCTGGCTCATGGGATGATTATGAGGGACACAAGAAACTCATTTTTTTATAACCGCTTTGATAAGCTTAAAGCCCCACAGAATAGTAACAGCAACAATATTCACTGAGGACATATGACTGATTTCTCCTCATCTCCTTATCTGAACCCCATGAGATCCATGCCAGGGTTATTTCCATTTTTGCCACTGAGGAAATAGAGTCAAGTTTTCAATGTAGCCAAAGGCACATAGCCAGTAAGTGGTAGAACCAGGTCTCCAACTCAAAGTTTCATGCTCTAAAGCCAGAGTTTTTAAAATACTGTTTCTTATATATGAGGGTAGCTAACACTTACCAAATGTTTACTATGGGCCAGGCTTGGCTCTACAAATTTCCCAAGTATTAATTCATTTACCTCTGTAACTCTAGGCACAGATACATTACTGTTCCCATTTTACAGATAAGGGAATAAAGAGATGATATAACTTGACTAAGTTTGTACAGTTCACAAGTACCAAAGGCACACATTTTGATCAGAGTTCTTATCCTCTCTCCCCATCTCATGCGTGTGTGTGTGTGTATAAAAAGAGAGAGAGAGAATATATACCTATCTATAGAAAGAGAGATGGAAGTTACAAATTAGAAAACAAGTTCCAGTAACATCCTGTAAGTTCATCAAGGTTAAATATTTATTGAGCTCCTGGTACGTATCAGCCCTAGGCACGGGGCTGAGGTTCCTGACATGTAAGCCACTCGTCACCACCCTCCCAGAGATGACAGCCATGTGTGTTGGGGACATACTTACAATGTATACAGTGCAGAAATGATACAGAGAAGGAAATGGTTAACTCATGAGGACTGGTAGGTAAGAAGTTTCTTGGAATAAGTGACACCTAAGCAGAGCTCTAATGCAGTTTTCTCAACAACGAACAAAACACATGGACTTCCCTGGTGGTCCTGGGGTTAAGACTCTGCATTTACACTGCAGGGGCACAGATTCAGTACCTGGTTGGGAAAGTTCCAGATGCCACATGGTGCAGCCAAAAAAAAAGAAACACATTTCTGAGAGAGAACAACATATATGAGTTACCAAAGTAAGAATGGATTTGGCATGGGAGCATGAAATCAATATTTCTCTACTTCTATTAAAACACATTTTCAATTTTCCAAAACTGACCGACCCCTTCTTTCTTTCATTCATCCAATGATAAATATTTATTAAACTCCCATGTCTAAGGACTATTCAAATGTAAAAATAGATGGAAGGAAGAAATAAAAGGAAACCAATAATTATGAGCACTTATTAGGTAACAGGTGTTGAGCGAGGCACTTTTTTAAGTCCTTACAGTCACTTGATGGGTAAAAACATTATTCCATTTTTCTAGTTGATGAACAGACTCAAAATCGACACAGTCACTGTGACAAAGCCAGATGTTTTATCTAGACCTGCCCTGACCCTGATCCTGTACTTCTTTCAAGGGAATGCATAGCTACCTTGTCTTGTTTCTTTCCACTAGTGAGGATATTCACAAAGCTCTCTGCAACCAAACATTGCCTGACAGCTAACCAGGAAAACAAATTTGCTCTGTCACCAAAGCAGAGAGTGAGTTCAAGAGGC